AATACATTTCTTAAGTTTATAGAAGAAATGAGCAACAAATCACATGAAGATATGGAGGGATCAATTTCTTCTACCTCTGAATTAGCTGTTTTAAAAGAGTTGAGGCAGAGTTTATTGAATCAATTCTGAGTAATTAAGAAGTATATGAATTAGGCAGGAGGGGAAAAGCTGCTTCCTTTTTGCTGAATGCAATATAATTACTCTTACAAGTGGCATTTTATTCATATATTTCTTTGAGAAAAAAATGCCAGATATTTTCACAAATCAAACTTTCAATTTATCAATAAAAGTACCTTTTAATTTTCATAATTTTATAGTTTTTATTTTTCAAAATATATTCATACAAAACAAGTAGCTCTCATTTGTGTTAGACTCTGCAGCATGTACCGTAAAGAAGGGAATTCAGGCCTACGAGTATTTTCATATCTTAATTTGTAAATATAAAATATTTATGCTTTAATAACTTTCTTCTGTTTTAGATAACTGAAAACTATCAAAGCAGTAAAAAAAATAAATATACATACACACAAAACCCCAAATCTTGAGGATATTCATAAGTAAAACCAAAGAAAAAATGTACTAATTCTATAAATTATGGACAAATAATAAATTCTAGCTAGTTCGATATTTATTTTTGTCTACTGGCTTCACTAAAGGCATTTTTTTTTTTATGATTTTCGATTTCCTCCTGAGTCATCTTTTCCCTTGATTAAGGTCCTCAGATCACCTCCCCCAAATCCTTTCTTGGCATGAAATGCATGCATCACACCAACTGAGCACTTGGTTACACGATATTATGAATGTCTCTGTAATAGCTACTTGTCACTCAGGCAAGAAATATTTATGAGCAGCTACTTATTTTTAGTCCCTTGGCTAGGGGCTGAGAACACCATGATGGACAAGACAGATTACCTCCTAGGCCAAACTGTTTTTCATGGCATATGTTTTTAAATGCTTTACCTTTAATCCCCATTTTGCCGATGAATTCTATTAATCTGGAGAAAGAGTTGGGCTATACTGAACAAACATAAATTTCTTTATTGCTCAAGAGAGAAAGAGGTCATTTTCCTGACCTCTATTACCTATTAAATAAGTATAAAAACCCCAGCTGATGTAGATTAACTCTTCATACAGACACAATTTTATCTGACATTGCTCATAGCTCTCCCTGGCTGGTTCTTCTACTCTGGGAGTGCACTCACTTTCCCAGCCTGTACCTTGCTTGTGTCACTCAGTTCCTCACCTAGAAAACTTGTCCTTCCCAATGACTCATGTTGTTGGCTTTCAGTGAGTCTTTTTTTTTAATATGCTGTAACACTGATAGTTATAGTGAATGAAACTGTTAGTCTTGACAAATAGATATATAGTGTAAAGCATGCTGTTAAAGATAAGAGCCTACAGATTTGAGTGCCTGGTAAAAATCTCCCTTAACTGAGAATTCCCATGTATCCTTAGGCAACATCTATAATTTAAGTAAAAAAGGCCTCCCTGAATTGCTGAAGTCTGTAAGAACTATCTGGGACCTGTCACCATGGGGACGTGTACACATGCCCATCTGCTTATAATAATCTGGTGGTTCTCTAGAGGGTTCATGCTCTGTACGTGTCCTGAACTTTCTACCACACTATTAGGTACTGTAAAAATGTTTTGTTTTCTTTTGTGTCTTTTCATAGTTCAAGTTAGTTCAGGACAACGCTGGACACACAGCAAATACTCAGTGAGTTGTTAAGTGAGTGACAAATACAAAGCACTACCAGCACTTCCCTGGGACACAGTACACTGCTTTGGAAAGAGAATTTGGAAGAATCTGTAAGATAATGGTTTGCAAGGGCATCATCTCAATTTTTCTTCCTATCCCAGAGGAAATCTAAAGGAAATGAGTAGATGCCCCTAAGGCTACAACCATAAATTCCACAAGTTGAATCTAATGAATCAAGTGAGGATTGGAAGAGATCAATGCCTCAGCACAGAAATAAATATGAGATCTTTCATTGGAATGGAAAAATGAAAAGTTCTAAGATTATTTTAGAACACTTTTCAAGAGATTTAGATGTTGATAACATGATAACTGCATTTTTAGGATGCTTTAATTTTAAAACTCATTTAGATCAGACAGTCTGTATATTTTTATGTATCTTTATGTACATGTATGCATCCATATATTATTTTACACACACACACACACACACACACATTAGAGGAGTTGGGAGTGCTTTGCTGTATTGAGAGAACAGAGTTAACTGAGTCACTCCTTAGTACTTCAACAAATTTCTGTAGACATATCTCTGAGGCACTTGGGATTCTTGGGTAATGCTTATCATGTAGTTGAAAATGTTTACAAGAATAATATAAAAACATCAGGGCAATGGTTTATTCAATTGTGGTTACATATGCATAATTATGAACATAATTCACCACTGAATCCATAAATGATAGAATTCTCTAGAAAATTCCTGTTAAATCTAAATTACCACACCAAACAATGAACATTGAACATCCTAAAGGACTTCATGAGGAGTGACACTAAATCTGACCATATTTAACCACATTACTCCTACAGATTTGGAGAATTCCACAATACATAAATAAACATAAAATGTTGAGCTGTTGGCATTCAGTGATTTTTATAACACACTCAATATAATTTTTGAACTTACTATAAACACAATGGCTACTTGATTATGGTTGCTATTTTGGTATTTGGTTATTGTGGGGCTTATAAAGTTCAGGATACACACACATGATTATCACATCTCTAATATTTGTGTATATGCTCCAGTCTGGCCTTCTTAGCATCCATGTAAACACAATAATGTTACTCCAAGCACTCATAATGAGATATACAAAACTATTGCTGCAAAGTTCTCCCTAGTATGCCCCATTTACCTTTCAACACCATACAGACATAGCTAATGGGTTGCCACTACATTGCTTCTTAACCATCCTAATCTGTTTAGTCCCCAAGAATTTTTATTCTCAAAATTCAGTAAGCAAATTTCCAATGAAGTCTCTAAGCAATAAATTATAATTTTTTACTAAATATTTTCTGTTGCATCCCAAACAATGACATGTTAAATTTCACTTTTGATTCTAAAATTGATGCTCAAATTTTTTCTAAATTTATTTTTTAGCTATAAACTTGGCCTATCTAACCCCCCCAACTCACTCCCCACCCCCTCTGCTTTCGGTCTTCCCTGCCTCTATTTCTCTTCTAGTCTTCTCACCTAAAATTTAAAGCCATGCTTTAAATAACACAAGCAACTCTCTGTCCTGGTAGGCTGCAGCAAGCACTCTGGCTTGTGGGGAAATCAAAGGCTCTTGGTAGTCCCACATTTGAGTCTAGTCCCCAGATCTTGAGCATGGGTTTGTTATGGGTTTTGGGTTTCAGATACCCAACATTGCATTATCTCAGGAACTTCCTCTCTTGGGACCTTTTCTTTTATTTGTATTGTTCACGGTAGGGTGCTACTGAAAAGTGAGGAAAAAAGAATCTATGCCAGCCCTACAGTATATTCTGTACTGTTTACAAAAGTAGACCTTTGTTTTTCCTTTAAGGATGCCGAATCTCTCTAACCATGACTGAAATTAAAATACTAATAGAATTGTGAGGCATTTATTTTAGAGAATTCTCTTGTGTTCTTTAATTGCTAAAAGGTAATACTTGAAATTAATATTGATTGCTTTAGCAAAAAAGAAGAATACTCAGAATACAAATAAATAGGAAAGCATTACTCAGCTTATTTTTTACATTAATAACATAATGAATTTAAATGTATTTGTTCTGGTTAAGAACTTTGAAGTTGCTTGCCTGTCATGCTAGAGTTTTAAAATTTTGCTTTTGTAGTACTAGAACTTTTAAAAAATGAACTTTATTTTTTCTGATTATAAATTTATTATATACATACTCATTATAGAAAGCTTACTAATAATAGATAAAAAAACACTCAAACAAACTCATTATTTCTTTTTACTAACATTTTCTCCTGACCACATATGAACTTCTGAGTAGCCTGTAAATTGTTGTAGGTAATGCCATGAATATGAGAAGAAAACCCAACCTATAACCAAGCAAGTTTCACATAATACATACAGAAGCTGAAAAAAGGCACACTGAAAAAAAGTGACAACTAAATGACTTGAAGAAAATTGCTCTTAGGCGCAGTCAACCACAGTGGGTTACTTGCTATGAGGACACTGATGTGTAACTAGGACTAGAAGGCCACTGAGGAGGTGTGGATGGTAAATGTGAGGGTGCTGTCCCAATCCTCACGTCAGGAGGAGGTTTTCATGTTATGGCGCCAAAATCGCTGAAGCTAGCCTCCACCTAAAAGGCATTACCTTTCTTTACCTAGAAAGTTCCCTTTGGAAACATATACATGTAATTTATTACTATACACCTTTGAAAATTAGAATGGAAAGAAATGTGATAGTAAAACTATAAAAGTGTGATAAAAAGATACTTTATTTTACTAAATGCTTTGGGTAGGAATTTTTAGTTTTAATGTAAAAGTGCTTTAAAAATATTGCCAGATACAGTTATTTTTAATTATCCATGTCTGAGTTAAACATATATTATTCATGTCAAACACGAAGCCCTAAATAGTTTCTCTTAGCCACCAATAATTATCTTTCATTATTAGTCAGTAAGAGTACAGGAAATTTAACAGATTTCAATTTTAATCTGAGCAAAACATAATTAGTAAGGTAATTCTGCTGTAACAGAATAATCCAATACATTCAAAATCCATATGTAAATCCCTTTAAGATATTTTGGATTATCTGTATCTTTTTAAAATATCTCTCTGCAGGAGAAAAATGGGAAAGAATGTAACATTTAAACATTTTTTATTTCACTTTACAAATGTTTAAAATTATTTACTGCAAGTTGAGACTTACTTTTCTCTAAATTTAAAAGCATTTGGCACTATGATCCTGATGGTACACTATGATTAAAACAAACATTCCCAAGTTAAATAGCTATAATTGCTAAAAACACTTACCAATGGAAAATTGGAGTACAGAGGCTGTTGTTGTATTAAGGCCTGTGGTGATCTAGAAAAAGGAATATACCAAAATAAGACAAGATAGAGAGGCAGAGAAAGAGGTAAAAGACGTCCAAAGGAGGGAGGAGAAAAAAACAGGAAAGGAAGGAGCCATAAACAGAGGTTGTATTTATCCAGTGGTGAGCTTATTTTTATTAATATGTCTGAACACAAATACATTTTGTTTCTCTGGGGGAACAAAGCTCTGAGATTCTGACTTGGCCCTCTGACGGTATTTCTTGCTGTATGATGAGAACTGCTTGCAGGGTAATCTACGCGGTAATTCTGACCTTGAGAGGGCACTAACCCAGCCCCTCCACTCACACTACCACCTCCCCTCCATCCTGCATCAACAGATCTGGGGCACAAAGCAAATGTCATAAAAAGAGTAACCACCAAAAATTGGGAGGTGAATTAAAAGCAGATGATGAGAATAAAAGTATTTTGAAAAGTGAATAGAATTACAGCAACTAACAGTGCAGGATTTTTGGGGGGGTAATGAAATGTTCAAACACTGATTATGGCAATGGCTGTATAATTTTGTGAAGAAACTAAAAACCATGAATTGTATGCTTTTGAAAGAATGAATTGTAGAATATGTGGGTTATTTCTCAATAAAACTGTTAGTTACCCCCCTCCAGAAAGAGTAATCAAATTATGGGCCTATAAATATCCTTCCCACATGTTTCTGTTACTTTCTCTTTGTTTCATGAAGAACGATGTTTAAATAATTTTCCCGTTTCTCAAGAGAAATGATACCTTAATTTTAAAACAATTTAACTTTAAAAAATTTTTACTTATATATTTTTTTGAGCACTGACTTTGATCCATACCAGCTCAGATCAGATGAGAATTAAGATTCTCATTTTCAACGATTCTTTTGCTGGGTTTCTGACCCTGTAAGCTGAAGTATGGGATACTTCCCATCACTGTACCCTATACAATTGAAAGTGTATAATTGTGTTTCCACCATGGCAGAAGCTGTTTGCTCTCTTCCTTTCACTTCTCATATACACAATGACATCTTTAGCCTTATCCCTGTGCTTCATTAGTTCCCATGTAATTAAGTCCACAATGGCAGAAGGGATACCCAGTGCACGAACTGTGGTAGGAATTAGTGGACAAATGAATGAGCAAACCTTTTGCTCTGCCACATTCAGCTGAGATTCGGATATCAAAAGATCCTGCATCTACAACATGTTTTGGAAAGATGACTGAGCATGTGCTTTAAATATGTGAATTTAAAATTAATGAAGAAGCAGGAAAGGTAATAGAGGAAAAAGCAAGGGAGGCATTATACAAGTTGTCCGGGTATCAGTATAGGTATTGGCTCCTAATTGATTCTAACCCTTGCAAAAATCACTGTGCTCAGGTGTCAGAGGAAATTCTTTATTTAATCTAAATCTCTCATTATCACAGATTATCTGCTCAAAGAAAACTGGCCCACCATGCCCAGAACTCTGATTCCTGCTCCCTTCCCCTTACCAGAGTCACTAGAGTAAAATGCACTAATAGAATTTTCTTTAAGTAACTAAACTCCTTTTCAAGATTCCTTTAAAACAAATCTGTTTTTTCCTCCAAAGGTTTCACAGTATGTTCAACTATTTGTTGTCATGAGTTTCCACTTGGACAATTTGATGTTAAAATCCAAAAAAAGCACGTGGAAACTTAAAATTTTTTCACATTACCTGAATGAACACTCTTTCCCCCTCTAAATTTATGTAACTGAGATTAATGAAACACTCCAGAATAAAAAGTTCTTTGAAACAATGGTATCACATAAGTTAAAAGCACCATGGTTACCGCTATTGTTAGTGCCTTAAATATATGAGAGTTCTATCCTGGTGGTGTAATAAATGAAGCCTGTGTCACCTGCGTGATCAGGTTCCACAGCTGTGACCTCTGTTAGCAAAAATCAGCTTTCTTGAAATATTGCCAAATTTAAAATTACACGTGCTAACTGATAGTGACCGTAGACTTTGATTAGTCATTGATACTCCATTTTTTTTCTTCACCAGGAAAGCTAAGAACTGGTAGAGTGGTTGCTTCTCATTTCTGTACATTTACCCATTTAGTTTATTAGTAACATTGTTAGCTACAAGAAAGAATAGAAAAAACAAAGAAAAAAATAACAAGAAGCATTGCCTATAAAATCTATATTTTCCTTTGGGTGTTATAAATTATTTATTATTATTGAGTTCAAATTTGTAATTTTAGTCTGCAAAGTTATTAAGCCTTTATATCTGACATTCTGAAAACTAAAGGGCCTCTTAAAGGGATTTTGATAAATAATAAAACAACTATGAATGTCTGGCAGAGAATTTTTTTTCTACCAAATCTCAGTGCTCTTAAATTATCAAATAGCCTCCAAACTATAGAAAATTAGTATGATCACTAATATGAATCTTAAGATTCATTGCAGGCTGAGGTTGTTCATTCTGCACCTCTTTCTTACAAATTTTTATTGTTTGATCCCGTTTTAGCCCAAACTTACTCTTGTAGAAAAAATGTATTTCTAAATATGTAAGAATAAATATGAGGAGGACCCCACGAAAACCCTGAATTATCTTCAGGAGAGTGGGTCCCTTGTAGTACAGGCTTTTCCCATTAGTTGAACGTTCTAGAAACCTATCTGTGTCAGTGTACCAGCTGGTGCTGTTGTGAGAGGCTGCATTCGGCTTCATTGACTTCTTTTGGAAGACTCTTTCAACAATTGCTCATTTCACAATGGGTGATTTACGAGTGTACTCGCCCACACTGTGCTGAATGTTAAGCAGTTCTTGATCGAAAATGGCATGACCCCTGTGCCCCACCCTCTCTAGTCATTCAATTTCACCCCAAGCAACTTCTTTTTCTTTTGTTTTCTTGGATGAAAAAAAAGTCCTCAAAGGGGAACGTTTTGCCAATGTGGAAGAGGTGAAACAAAAAACAGCAGAAGCACTAAAAGGCACCAAAATTGATGTGCTCATAAACTCTTTTGAGCAGTGGAAAAAAGTCTCGATGGGTGTATTGCATCAAATGGAGAGTACTTTGAAGGTGACTAAATTTAAATGTATGAGAATAAATACACATTTTTTTACAAATAAATTCTGGGTTTTTTTGGGTCCTTCCTCATAATTTCTTTTTTTAAAAAATGGATGTAGCATAACTAATTTTGTTTTAAGTTCTAAGAGAGCACATTTTCTCGTAAAGGAGTGGGTAAATGCATTCCTCATTAACTTGATTTTAGACTAGCAAAATGAATAAAGCTAAGTACTACCACCTGAAATGTGGAGACTTCACTGAGCTAAATAAAATGTGTGAGGGCCACACAGCACAGCAGCAATGGAAACATTAATGCATGGTGTGCCTATGTGAGAGCAGATGCCGCCTCTCATTAACTTTGACTGAAAAAGGAAAATGAAATGGCCATTTGAGTAACTTCACAAAATGGCGATGCTCTTTTCATTAAAAAAAAAAAAAAAAAGCATTAGTCTAGTAAGGGTCTTGTCCTATGGTTCTTTGTTTCACAACTTCAGTAAGAATTAGGTTTATGAAAAATAAGAAGACATATTTTTTCAAAAAAAAGTTTAAAGGCTAATAATTTTCCTGAGTTCTCATGCACAGCAGTTTTGACTAGATTCAGTTCTAAGTACCATACAAATATGTGAATTTTAGCAAACATAACAGCATGTTAACAGACAATTGAATTCTTCACTTTTTATTTGATTGATCTGTCTTTGTTAAACACAACTTGGATAAAAAAATATATTTTTGTTCCTGGGACTCCAATATAGTATAACAATTATTGAAAGTTAAAGTTGCTACTGTGTAAAATGTGACTGCCATCCCCATCTGTGTTAATGTGTCTTCATTCTATTCCCTTTGAGTCCACAACACAATTTATCTTAGGGAACTACTTATGGTGGCAATATATTATAAATCTGCATATTGTTTTTCTTTCACAGATGCAGATAGTTATTTTGAATATTTTCCTTTTTAGTTGAAAGGCTTATCTCACATTAATTGCATAATACAATGCAAGATTAGCCCATTGGATGTATAAATTCTGATGTTAAATAAACTAGGATATAGTGAAATAATCAGGATTAAAATAAGTAGATACTTCAGTTTTTATGCAGCAGAAATAGGAATTTTGCATTACATTCTTAGATATTAATAAGTAGAAACAAAAATGAATTTGCCAAGCATTTCCAGAAGTATTACTAAATGGGAGGACATTCTAACATAGGCATTTATTCTAAGCTCAATTAACTACTGTAAAAATTTAATTTTGTTTTAAGGCTTATAGAAAATTAACTCAGTCATGGTACATTATTTTAAATGTACTAGCACATCTATTTTTTTCAAGAAGAACTGCACTACCAGAGTCATATTTGTCTGCAAGAATATTGTAACACCTTGTGAGACTTGAATTATGAGCACCTATTATTTTAATTTACATCCAATTAATTCTGTTTGTGTTCTAATTTCAAGTAAAAACTCTTCAATTTATCAATGCTCTGAAGCTCGTATCTTTAATAAATTAAATGTATCCATTGCCATAAAAGGTGTATTCAAGCAGCATAAAATAAGAACCATGTTATAAAAATTAATTGACTTTCACATTTTGATAACTAAATCTTCTTCTAACTGTCTAGCTAGGTTTTCCCCCCTTTTTAATGTGGAAGCAAGTTATCTGACCACTTTTAAAGTTAATAAATTTGAAATATAATGTGTGACACAGGGGTGAAAAATATAACCTGTTACTAAAACCCCATAATAAGGAAGATGTGGAAGAGAAAAGGAGAAGCATTGCAGGTCAAGTCAAAAGCAGAAAAACAAAGTATAACAAATGTGAGAAGAGTATTAGGTGGAAAGTAATTAGGCCCAAATAATATGACAATTGCTCTATATCCATTTTCAAGAATGTGAAATGAATGGGCTCCTCAGCCAGACAGAAGTACCAAGGAACAACAAAAGGTGCATTAGCCACATGCTGACGGCTAGTGGTTTCATTGTTTTCAATTGAGAATGCTCATGTTTCATTTTACATGTGAGTATAATCCAAGAATGTGTCTTTGGCCAGCAAAGTCTAATCAGTCTAAATTAAAGGAATGTATCCGGCTCCTGAACAATTTGGCAACAAAACTTTTTAAAACTGGTTTATGCAGTGTTCTCTTTTACTCAAATAAATCATTAAAGTTAGGAAACAAAGTTTAAAAATAATGTGACAAAATTGCTCATCTAACATTTCTACTTGCAAAGAGAAAATAAGTTTAGAAGTAAAGCTTTATACAAGAACTTATAAAGTCATGAATTACTTGTGACATATGTGACACATATATTTAATTAATATCTTTAATAAATGCGTATATTTGCAGCCTGTCATGTTGCACATATTATACACATATCATATACACATTTTTAAGCCATCTAATCATGATGACATGAGACCCATTGATGCTCCCAAATTTATTACTGAATTCTTAACTTTTGCATTTGAATATAAAGTATAAAATCATTGCTCCCAATTTTGAGATATTTTGCAACAGAGTTCATCATATAAACAATACTGCAAATTTTCATCTGAACTATAAGAGCCTAAGAGAACATTTTGTTGGCATAAATCTCAGTAAAGACAATGTATTTGGAATAATGTACATGAACAGCACACACTTACCAATTCTCTTGGACCATATGGCTCACAGAAGGTGACAGCATTGCCATGCATGATTGCGCCACACTGTTCTCCAGTCTCACAGTTGCTACATTCAATCCTGTGGGGACACAGAATGCATCCCCAGTCTGAGAACTAAGTAGCACACAGTGGTTTACAGCTCAGGTAAGGAAAGATGTAATAATTATGGTTATTTGGTTCAAATGAACATTTTAAGGAAAGTAATGTATTGTGATATGTTCTTTAACATGCCATCAGAAAGACTTAAACTTAAATCCCAGTTCTATCAGTTACAAACAATGGTGGGTAAGTTACTTAACCTCTAAAAGTTTCAGTTTTCTCACCTGTAAAATGAAGATAATAATATGGACCTAAACTCACGTATTTACTGTGCAGGTTAAATGAGAGAGTGTATATAAAATTGAGGGTACAGAACCAATCTCATAGTAGGCAGATGGTATCATCAATAATTATGTATAATATATATGTCCAATATAAGGAAGTTTGCAAACATTAAAGATAAGCAAAATAACACATACTTACATAATGAACTAAAAACTCATATCTCTGAAATCAAGAGATGTTTTATATATTTTAAATCTTTTTTGAGATATAATTAGTATAAATGTTAAAAATTATTCTTCTCAAATACATTGTGCATATCTGTAAAATATACCATGCTAAAAATAATGAAATCAGATTATATTTAATCCACATATTAATATAAAATATACATAAATTATAATTCAAGCAAAGTTTGGATACTGAATTAATACATTAACTTTGTAAATAATTTAATTAGCTGCTCTCTTTATTACTGTAAAATTAAGTGGTTAATAAATCATTAGGACAGGATTTCAAATATAAATTTATGCATGTTTTCAGTAGAAAATGAATTTATGTATATTCTGGGTTTGATTGTATATTTATAGCAACAGTTACAATGCTCTCCATCATTACGTTTCAACCTACAATCATTACATACCTAGGATGTAGAAAGATAGATCTATTTTCTCTGTCTGAACCTCAAACCACATGAGAGCTGTATTTCATGCAGAAAGAACATTTTCAAAGACTTTCACATTCCAGGTGCCAAACATTGTGGAAATAGCACCATGCCTTTTCTTTTGGAGATCACTGCATTGTGCCCTTTTGCTAATTTTAGAGAAAGAAGTAGGAACACCCATTTGGATAGGGAGACAAAAGTGTGAAGAGATGTCAGGTAGCTTATAAAGCCTAGAGGCAGAAGCGCAATAAGTAAAAACTGGCAAATAATTGTATTTCCTATATGTACACTGCACGGAATAAATGACTGTTATCATACCAGCCTTTTGAGCTGTGTTCCTACAGCAGAAGATAACAATGGTTAAGAATCTTAACATGTATAAAGGACACATGGACAAAGCCAAAGCGGGGTATGATTGAGGGTGGGAGGTGGGGATGGGGTGGGAGCAGGGCAATGGTGGGGGGAAAGTGAAGACAACTGTGCTTGAACAATAAAAAATGAAATAAACCTTGTTAGTATGACTCAGTGGATTGAGCACCAGCCTGCGGACTGAGAGGTTGCCGGTTTGATTCCCAGGCAGGGCACATGCCTGGGTTGTAGGCCAGGTCCCCAGTTGGGGGCATGTGAGAGGCGGCCGATCGATGCATCTCTCATACATTGATGTTTCTCTCCTTCTCTTTCTCCCTCCCTTCCCCTCTCTCTAAAAGTAAATAAACAAAAGCTTTAAAAAATTAAAAAATAAAATAAAATAAAAAAGAACCTTTGATTTTTTTTGTAGAATAAACAGGGAATAATGTGATGCTAGCATTGCAAATATCAGTAGGAGATTTAAATCTTTTGACTACTGTGAAGCAAGATTCTTTTTTTTCTTCCAAAACAAAAAATCAACAATTTATTGTTTAGGGATAAATACAAATGTTGCAAAAACTAGTTTTACATGAAGTCAAGGGAATAACAAATACAAAGTTTTGTCATGGTCACTTGGGGGATGGAGGGAGGTGAACTGAATTGGGGAAGGCACATGGGGAATATAATGTATTGCTAATATTTTATTTCTTAAACTGGGTGGTAAATACATGGGTATTTGATTTATTGTTATTTTTATACTATGCACATATGCTATGACTATTATCTTACATGTGTTTAATAATATGTTAAAAAGAGTGGTTTACAAAAAATATTTAAACAATTCAAATCTAAGTGTACTATATCTCTAGAATGTTAAACTTTTTAAAAATATATATTTTATTGATTATGCTATTACAGTTGCTTCATTTTTTTTCTTCTCTTGATTCCACTCTGCCGGCGCCTCCCTCCCACCAGCAACCACACCTCTTAGTTCACGTCCATGGGTCAGGCATATAAGTTCTTTAGCTTCTATAGGTTCTATAGGTTCAATTTCCTATACTATTCTTAACCTCCCCCTATCTATTTTGTACTTACTGTTAATGCTTCTTATCCCCTGTACTTTTCCCCCATTCTCCCCGCTCCCCCTCTGATCTCCATTTCTGTGATTCTGTTCCTATTCTAGTTGTTTGCTTAGTTTGTTTTTGGGTGTTTTTTTTTAGGTTAAGTTGTTGATAGTTGTGAGTTTGTTGTCATTTTACTGTTCATAGTTTTTATCTTCTTCTTTTTCTTAGGTAAGTCCCTTTAACATTTCATATAATAAGGGCTTGGTGATGATGAACTCCTTTAACTTGATCTTATCTGCGAAGGACTTTATCTGCCCTTCCATTCTAAATGATAGCTTTGCTGGGTAGAGTAATCTTGGATGTAGGTCCTTGTCTTTCATGACTTTAAATACTTTTTTCCAGCCTCTTGCCTGTAAAGTTTCTTTTGAGAAATCAGCTGATAGTCTTACGTCCTTTGTAGGTAGCCATCTCTCTTTCTTTTCCCGCACTGGAACCCTGGATTGTGCTGTCTGTCTCACTCCCCAGTTGTTCGTCTTAGTTCATCTGCACTCAGATGTGGGACTGCTTGGTTTTCCAGCTGCAACCTCGCCCTCTCGGTCCTCCCGCCACAGCCTTGCAGTGCCTCCTCTCCACCCCAGCAGCTCACCTCAGCCCCTCCTACCAGTTTGGATGAGAGTTTCTTCTTTAACTCCTTAGTTGTCGGACTTCCAAATAGTTCAATTTTCTGGCAGTTCTGATAATTTTTAATTTTTAAATTTGTTGTTGTCCTTCTTTTGGTTGTGCGAGGAAGCAAAGTGTATCTACCTATGCCTCCTATTGGCCAGAAGTACTGATTACTGTGAAGCAAGATTCTTGACATTAGAAGAGATAGACCAGTAGCTTCATAAGGGCAACAAACATGTTTCTTGTTTACCATTTTATGCCTTGCACGTTGTATTCTATAAAAATTTGTTGAATGAATGAATATAAGACAATTTCATAAATATAACTATTATCAAAGCCTGAGGTCCAAAGCATTTAGAATAAAAAGTGTCTGGCACATAGCAAGAACAATGTGTTAGTGTGTGAGTTGTTGTTATTGTTGTTGTTATTATTATTGATTTCAAACATTTTCATTCAGAACTGGTGTATTAGTTATTTTTCCCCACAGAGAACCTATTACATGAACTTTTTACTACAATTGTTCTATTCTTTAAACTATATATTAGTTTTTTTCAAGGACTGTGATTGTAATAAAAACAGAGGAAGAGCATAAAAGTTACAGTGGTATTCTCACTAAGTGACAGATGAGCATTATTTGGCCATTAAGGTATTCTAAAATGGCTTGAGAAAAACATCAACTTCGACAGAAAAATATTAAAAGAATATTCAAACCTCACAATAGCTATCTGTCATTTTCCCCCAATAACTCTAAACTAAAAGCATCATTGTTGATATGTAGTTCAAGGCTTGATGTTGGAATTCCCATAGCAATGAATCTATCTATAAATATTTATTAGCAGTTCCCAAATCAACCATATATCAGAAAAAATAATATCTGTATAAAATATATGTATTACAGTTCCCCTTCCCCCATAGTTTTGATTAAATAGGATTCAGGTGAAGCCTAGATATCTATATATTGTTTAAAGGTGGTTCTAACATAGGAGGCCAATAGCCTGACATTAGGAAACCAGTGAATAGAGATCAGATGTTTAATGTGTTTGGAGAACCATTTCTATTTTGTGGAATAACAGGAGTTTATATACTAGTAAAAAAAAAGCAAACCAATATAGTCTTTCTCCCCATTTGGCTCAACACCCTCTCTCTACCTTTCTCTTCTTCATTGTGCTTTATAGCTCCAGAAACTTAAAAAAAATTTCTGAAAGCACTAGTACCCTGTTGAAACTTAAAAGATTTTGAATTATCAGTATTTAGAATGGAACAAATCCAACACCAAAAGGTCTTTTTTGTCCTTTGCTTGAATTTCTCACAGTCTGACTGGGTTTGTCAACATAATTTATTATAATTTAAATCTGAATGCTCATCCATCTGGGTGGTCAAATCAACCTACTCTTAGCTGTCAATGGTGTTATTTATTCATTCATCATTCATTAATTTGTTTTTTTTTTAAATTAAAAAACTTGTGTTGAGGACCCACAGGCACTGTGGTGAGCTTTAGTGGTACAAATATGAATAAAGCAGTGTCATTATCTTCCAGGAATTCATACTCCAGAAGGCAGAGAAATAAGCACACAATTGCAATATAGTGTGTCAGTGTAATGATAGCTATTTATTGTATTCAGTTTTGTGCCAGATATCCCAAAGCCCATTAAAATATCTCAACCACTCTATAAGATAGTCATTAGTGTCCCCCTTTTACTAAGAAAATTGAGCCTCAGAGAAGTTAAGCATTTGCTCAAGACAGACAGCTGTGAGGCTGACAGTTGCAATTTGGACCCAGAACTTGCTAATTCCAACAACCAATACCTTTTCCATGACTTCTCATTCCTTGTAACAGGAGTACTGTGGTTGTGATGGTACCTAACTCAGACTGAGGAAGAAAGAGAAAATACCTAGAGGAGGTGGTCCCAGACCTGGTCCTGAATGAGAAATAGGAGTTATTCAAGCAAGCAAGAAAGATGAGGTTGTGAAAAGGCACAATAGATGCAGAGATTACGACACAAATAGAATTGCTACTTC